TCCTGGCTCTGGCAGATGCCCCAGGGAGATGTTGTGAGAAGCTGCAAAGATGGATCAAACTGATCATTTGGCCTGGTTTAATACGAGTACACGAGCACTAAAAAGTAGGAGCTGGATGAAAAAAGAAGCCCTAATCTTTCTTGCTCAAACCTGGAATTCTCTCCCTAATGTAACAGTAATGGCTGTAATGTCATTTGTGTTGCATTTGTGCAATGCATTTCGTAGCTTTCCACCTCTACCTTTTGTCCTTGTCAGCACAGACACTTCTTGGCTCCTTTCCTTTTCTTTCCTCTTCCTTTTATCTAATGATTCACCGCAACAATTCTTTTTTATTTTTTTTTAAAAAAGCAGCAAAAGCAAAAAACCACTGAACAAATCACATGGCACGTCTGCCATCAGCAGAACAAATCCCAAAAGCAAAAAAGGCAGTGATTGCATCAACCTCATCCCTTGGCCTGAATTCCCTTTCCTTCCTCCGTGGCCAAACTCCTGAAGCTTTAACTCCATTTTTTCTCTCCTCTGTCGGGATGAACCTTCCCCAGTGGAATCAATCAGTGGCTCTGAGACAAAAAGTGAGTTAAAATGAAACGACAGGTTCAAGTTGTGGCCTCTCTTCCCCTGTGCTGTGTCTGTTCTCACTCCCTTCTGCATCTGCCTGTGCTACCACTCATATTTTAAGTGTTCCTTCCCCTTCCTCCAGCCCCAGCTGATCATGACACTGCTCAGGGATGACTAAAGCTGCTCACAGCAGCTTCATGTGACCATGTTGTCACTCGGGGAGTCATTTTTTTTCCCCCCTTGGTTCCTCTCAAACATTCCCAGGGCCCTCAGCTCACGAGCCTATTGCTCCCTCTAGAGCCCTTCCCAGCTGCTCTGGAGGACCACTGGGACTGTGGGAGGTGGGAACTCCCTGCTCCTTCTGCTTCCAGACTCTGGGATGCAGGTGGGATGCAGGTGGGATTCAGGCTCCAAGTTCCTGTATTTCAGGCACAGCACCATCAGGTGCTTCCTTCTTGGAGGCTGATTGTGGAATCATGGAATGGTTTGGGTTGGAAAGGGACCTTCAAGATCATCCAGTGCCACCCCCTGCCATGGGCAGGGACACCTTCCACTGGCCCAGGTTGCTCATTTCCAACATCAGGTTGATCTTCACCTCCCAGATCAGATTGATCTGCTCATTTCCCACATCAGATTGATCAGCAACCTCATTTCAGGTTGATCAGCAGCCCTTCTGAGCTGCTCCAGAGGACCACTGGAATCGTGGGAGGTGGGAACTCCCTGCTCCCTCTGCTTCCAGCCTCTGGGATGCAGGTGGGATTCAGGCTCCAAGTTCCTGTATTTCAGGCACAGCATCTTCAGGTGCTTCATTCTTGGAGGCTGATTGTGGAATCATGGAATGGTTTGGATTAGAAAGGACCTTAAAGATCATCCAGTGCCACCCCCTGCCACGGGCAGGGACACCTTCCACTGGCCCAGGTTGCTCATTTCCCACATCAGGTTGATCTTCACCTCCTGGTGGTCCAGGCATAGTATTGCTGAGCAGGTTCTGGCAGGTGATTTCAGAGAATCCCAGAATTATTTGGGTTGGAAAAGCCCTCCCAGGCCACAAAGTCCCCCCTGTGCCTGATGCCCACCTTGTCCCCCAGCACTCAGTGCTCTGGGCTGGGGGACAAGGTGGGGATTTGGCACAGCTTGGATTCAAAGCTCTGGGAGGTCTTTTCCAAGCTCAGTGATTCTGGAATTCTCTGACTCCAGCTGTCAAATCAGCAATGATTCTTGAGGGCACTCCTGAGAAACCCACCAACATTTCCAAAGTCACTGTTGTATCCCGGCCAGGAATGCTCCTGTTTCCATTTCCATTACTTTTTCTGGGGCAGGGTTCTGACCTTAAAGCTCTTGCAAAAAAACAAACATCACCAAGCAGTTTTTCCCTGCTCTGGTTGGGAGGGAAGAGCAGGTGGAAGAAGTGAGTCCTGTGCTCTGCCCTCACACCTACAAGGCCTTGATGTCTGTGGGAAGTGTTTCCAAAGGCAGAACCCAGGGTCCAACCTCTGGACAATTTAATCCTTGTGCTCTTGAGGTGCCATGTGCCCAATATTAGGATAGCACAGAGAGGGGAACAGTGGCTGAAGTGACTCTTTCCCCCCCAGCAAGGCACAGCTCGGTGTCACCCATCAGCCCTTTCGCCCTTCCAAAGGCTCCCAGGATGGCACAGCAACAACCACAGCTTCCTGGGGCATGGATCACACACCTGAGCTCATTTGTGAGTGGTTTCCCACGGATTTATGGGAATGTTTAACCCAGGGAATCTGTTGGCTCGTGCTGGTTGGCCGCAACTGCCGGGACATCACCAAAATCCTCATCGTGGCTGTCGGGGGCATCCAAACAAGGCCAGAGTTTCACAATGATTTTTTGGGGGTGTTTGGTCCCTCTTTACAGCCACCAGAGAGGTCAGTCCCCAACATGAGCTGTCTGGCTCAGTTTTGTAGGTGCACACACACGTGTAAGTGGATTATGCAAGCGTATTTGAAAATGAAATCTGTTTTATGGTTGTATCGTAACACATTAAAGCAAGGAGGAGAGTTTTATGGTGCTGCTGTCATCCCAAAACAGGTACAGCCATAAAACACCCATTTCCCTGACAATGCCTCCAATCTAAATGTGCCTTTGTCAACCAGACCCATAAATGATGAATAATGCAGAAGTGATAAAACCACTTAATAAAGGCGAATGTAGATGAAACAGAACAACCAGAGCTAAAAAAAAAAACCACCCAGCCAGAATTATTGGTAAGAGCAGTGAGTGACACGGAGGTTTATGGTTATATAGGCCTGTGGTTAACCAGTATGTGGTTAATGAATAGTCTTCTGTCAACAAGAAGTAAGTTAAGTGTCTTCCTGCTCTTGCCAGCTCGTGTCACAGCCTCACACGGGCTCAGGGATTGTCTGTTCTGCAGAAAATCTTGGAAGTTACTTCACCTCCCTCTTCTTTATTCTAGAGACTAGTAGTGTGGCCATGTTTTATCACATTTCACTGTTGTTGTTTGGTTTTTTTCCTGCTTTTATTTCGTATATAGAAACATCTCGAGAGCCTCCTAAAGAAATAAATTCACTACCTGTTCTAGCAGAGTTGTCAGAAAAAAACAAACAAACGACCAAACTGGAAGCAAGATGGAAATACTGCAGATTAGTAAAGAGAATAAAGTGTATTTTCAAGGTTCTTTCAGTCTTAGGGATCTGAGTGTTGTATATAAGGGTAGAGAGAAATTAGATTTTGGAAAGAAGGACTCTGACATTTGTTAAGTCTAATGGGATGGGTGGTAAAGTTTTTTGGAGGGAAGTTCATCAAACCTCATTGCTGATGGCTCATAGAGAGATCTGCTGTGCTGGCAGGGTGAGATTAATCAAGCTGTAAAGCTGTAATTGGTATTTAAAGAATGTCAAGAGCCATCCTGGCTCAGGGGGGATGTAGGACCCAAGAGTGGGTGAGATTCAGGGATCTGGAATCATTTTGGCTTCTGCAGCGATGATTTCCATCCCCAGAACTGCTTTCTGGAGAGGATGTGGAGGTGGGGAGATGTTGGGATTTGTGTTCCAGCTTCTGGGGCTGAGATTCAGGATTCCAGTGGGATTTAGGGATTCCCATCACTGGCCACGGGCTTCCTGTGAGATCCCAGCCAAGACACTTCACCTCCCCACGGCTCCTCACCCCTGGGCTGTGGGGAATGCATCCCAAATTCCCAGGGATGTGCTGAGGACAGTTCCCAGCAGCCCTGGGGGTGTGTGTACTGCCCCTGCAGCCCATCAGCACCAGGGCAGGAGCTGCATCAGGGGAAGGATTGAATTGCAAGGGAATGCATATGGGGAGGGGGGGTAATATTGAAATTTATCCTTATTTATGGAGCTAAATGGAGCAAAATAAATAAATAAATAAATAAATAAAAATAGGAAGGTTTGGAAAGGAACTAACTCAGCACTCAGGAGGGCTGGAGCCAAGTGGTAAAATGAAAGAAGCAGATCTCCATGTGCAACCTCAATTTTCTTACAGGAGTTCCTGGTTATCTAAGTTGGGGTGATGTCCCCTGATGTCTCCTGCTGATACCAATGATTTCTGGCAGCCTCTGAGTCCTCTGTGATGCTGAGAGAACTGTGCTGGGCCTGCTGACAGGCAATGTTTGCACTGCTGCCCATGCCAAGGCTGTCATGAATGCACAGATCAGGGCTGATCAAAGATGCTTTGGACGTCGCTTTTGATATTTAAAAAAAGCCAGAAGTAAATCCAGGGGCAGCAGCACTTTCCCCAGCTCAGAGCTATTGCCATGCACATAACAGTTTGGAAGAGGCCTTCATGGTTTTCTTGCAGAATAATAGAGAAACTAAGCATTATGCTCTGCTGTGTCCTCAGAAATTGTTTTAATTCTCTGTGGACCAGCTGCAGGGATTTTTTTATTATTATTATTTTCCATTCCCTTGTTTCTTGGCATGGCAGCAGCAAATGATTTTTAAAGGGTTCTGGGTCACAATATGGAGTTGATCTCCTGGTGGCCTCGACCACAAAGTGTGGGATTTTACGATCTGAGCACCCAGTTCTCTTTGATTTTCACAAGTGCTGCTGCTCCAGATTCCCGTGGCAGTTCTGGAAGAGTCAGCCACGATTCCTGAGCCTCCCTGAACTACCACCCTTCAGAAAGCACAGATAACATGCCAGCAGTCATGCATATCAGATAAACTCCAACTGCTAGGGGTAACCTCCTTTTTTTTATATATACAAACAGAGCGTAGATCATTTAAATACAAATTAATTCCTTTCCCCTGAAAGCTTTGAGCAGCTGCCATGGATTATACACCCCACTCCCTGGGCACAGCTTTATGTTCAGCTGAAATGTTTCAGTGCCATTCAAGGTGTTTGAGTGAGTGTTGCCAGAAATGAGTTTCTCTTTTCTCAGTAACATCTATTTTTTTGTTGTTGTTGTTTATTTTTGTTTATTTTTCCTGTTGCAGGGAAAAGCTTCACGTTGACAATCACGGTGTTCACCAACCCCCCCCAAGTAGCCACATACCACAGAGCCATCAAGATAACAGTGGATGGACCTCGGGAACCCAGAAGTAAGTGAGCTCAGGATGGCATTTCCAGAGGGATAAGGTGGTGGATCAGGGCAGGGCTTGGTGAAATCCAGCGTTATCCAGTGCACGTGGAACAGGGGGAATGTTTGAAGCCACAGCTATCCTAAGAATGGCTTTAATCATCCCTTCCCAAAGGGATGATTATCTGGTTTATGATTATTTGGTTTATGATTATTTGGTGTCCAGCTGGTCCAGGCCGTGACTTGCATTTTTCTGAAGCACCTCCCCAGAGCTGACTTGGCTCCTAGACAAGAGCTGAGAGGAGGGATGCTGGGAAAAGGTGGGCCGAGGATACCTGACACATCATTTCTTGCTAGACTTGCCTTTCAGATGTTAAGAGGATCTTAAAGCATTGGAAACCAATATGTCATTGATCCGAGCCTTCAAGCTCAGCCACCCTG